CATGCTATAAGCTTTTGTTTATAAGACACAACTTGTTGTTGCTCCACCCTCTCATGCTGTGACTCAGCAGTAATTTTAGGTTGGCTCAGCTTCCTCCTTTTTGTGGCCTATTATATGTACACAGTTGCAGAATTATTTTTTTTTTCTAACCTCAGAAAATATAAGACATGACTTTCCAAAGAAAACATGCTAGCAGGATATTTTATTCCAGGGGCCAATCGTGAAGCTAAAAAAACTTAACAATGAGCAACCTTTCCTTTTCTGTCTGGTTTACTGAAATGACATCTATGAACTAGATCACTGGTATCGTGGTTAGCTTTTAGAATTTTCCTCAGCAGCGTCTCTTCAAGTTAGATGCTGAGTTCACCAAGTGTCTGGAACAGGCCTACATGTTCTTCTGCCAATGATGAAACAAAAAACATAAATTTCCACAGGAGATTATCTCAGTTGAATGAAGGCATGCAATTCAGTGAGTGCAAGATGAAGAAGGTATAAGAGATAAAGACTGGTTGTGTGTCATAGCATAGACAGGAATGCTCTGCAGAATGAGAAACGGAGAAACTGTGTGGTTTCATAAGGCAGAACAGGATGGACACAGAGGAAAGGGACAGGAGGAAAATGGTCATAAGGGAGAGAAGAGAAAAACTGGAAAAGGCAGGAGAAGAAAGACTTTGGCTGTGTTAATCCACATATTTATGCAGGTGGCTTCAACAGCCTCTGCTACTGATTTCTACTCCTTCTGCCCTCTTGACACAACCCCTGCTTTACCACAGTGAATTTCTGAATGTCTGGGTAATCATGCAGTGAACTGGAGAGGAATCTGACTGATCCTGGTTACTTTTCAGCCCATAACCCAATAAAATGTAAAGTAACGGGAAAAAATGGATAGAAGCAAGTAACACTTCATCTGGCACTACTATCCAAAAGACGATCAGGAGATCGTGGCCTGGGGGGAAGCTATAGCAAAGGGACTGAATAAATGAACAAAAGGACTTGGAGCAACAGATAAGACTGGTGATGTTACATCAAGTTTGACACAATCTCAAACTGCTGGCAGGTCAGTTGCATTCCCACCTCAAAAACTCCTTACACCAACTCTAGCAATAATGTAGCTGACAATATTTTAATTACCTGACTGAGAAAAGTTTTGGGGTTTTTTAGTTGTTTATTTGTTTGTTTATTTGTTCTTTTGGATCACCTCAGTGACTCAGTTCACCTTCCAGCAGCCATAAGGACATCAGATACAACACAAATAAAGTAACAAGGAGAGGGGAAGTGGAACTACTTCTTTTCAGTTAGTTTTTTTACCACATGCTAAGGCGACTGAGATTAGTCAATAAGGTTTAAAATTATGTACTCTAGTAAAGCTTGTACACCATGTGAAGTTAAAAGAGAACTGGAAAAATAGTAAGAGATAACAGGTCATAAAATAGAGAAGTGAAGATGGGGTACAGCAAAGTGTTCCTATATTTATTCAGTCTTCCAGGGGTGAAAGATAAAATAGACTAGGAAATATTAGAGAACACAGAAACAACAGATCTATATAAAAAGACAGGAACAAGCAAAAGAAACTTGGGAAAAAAAACCAACAAACACACCAACAACAGAACACATTAAAAAAAACAAACAAGCAACAACAACAAAAAACAACCCAGAAGAGTTGGAGAAAAATATGTGTGTTTATTAGCTGTAGACAGAGAACTGCCTGAAGAACATGAAGATCTGCCAAAGTTCCTGGAAGAGCTGCAGTTGCCTGACTTACAGAGGGGAAAAAAATGTCAAAGCTCAGGGGAGAGGCAAGTGAAGAGAGTAGAGATGGAAGAGAAAGAAGTCAGACTGATTTTGAAGTGTTACTTTTTAGGTGTTTCCAAGGAGGCAGACCTACCTCACCTAGACTGTGAGTTTAAAATTCAAATTCTTTATAAACTTTTTCCTTTCCTGAGTCTCTTTTCATATACACACAGAAACCCACACGGATATTTTCATTTGAGCAGTGCCAACGCTATTAATTATCTCCTCTGGAGATCTGATGCAGTATTTGCGACAATGCAAGCAATTCTAACACTCCCTGGACACCTGTTTAACCCTGTATTTTTCAGTAAAAATGTCTTTTAGCTTTAGAATTTCTAAATGTTCAGGCAGAAATTTGAAACAAAGTATATCTGTAAAACATTGATTCAAGCCTTCATTTCTAAATTATAGCTATTTCAAAGTCGTAATGACAGGGGTTAGAGTACTCATTTTCATCTGTGCATTACCTCTTCAGCTGCCTTACCACCAGTGCTTAGAGGGCTGTACTGTGAAGCAATGTAGTGAATCTATCTGAGTTGGAATTTTGTTTCATTTCAGTTGTGATCCAGTCCCTTGTGTCATCTCATATACACTGAAACAGAGCGAGAAAATTGCATGGGAACATGACCAAGCAGCTGCGGGAAGGGGAAGCAGTGGGGATTATTAGAACACAATCACTGGCAAAGCCTCACTATAATGAAAATGCAGTCTCAATAGAGGATAAAAATTAAAAGATTAAACAGATTTGTTTGCTACTAAAGTGATTTTTGAATCTAAGTAAACTGTTGGCTAGAATAATGTGCATTGATGAGCCACGGGTCTTGGGAGGAAATATGTGTGTGCATGTATACATATAAACCATATCATGGGCAGTAGTTAAGAATGCATGGACAATCTTCATCTTGGCATTTACTAGGTTCTTTTATAACTTTGCATCTGTAATATTAGTTCTCTTTCACTATTTTTATTCCAATTACCTCAATATTTAAAAGTATTTTTTTTACAAGAAACATAGCACAGTTACTGAGAGCCATACTTGTCTCCCATAGGTGATTTCTGAACAAGATTCATTACTCCTTTGCCACTGCATTTCACAGTTGCTGCTACACTGTGGCAATGGTCTGTTGAAAGTCCATAGCCTTTGGATCGACACCAGATTTGGGAGAGGAAAATACTCCAAAAGTTAGAGATTTTATAACCTTTTACCATTACCTGTCCAGCCACATCTGTTTTTAAATCCGCTACCCTAGGTTCATAACCCTTTTTCCTGTCTTAGCATTGCTTTTGCAATAAAGCATGGGTGCTGTTTTTTTGCCCCTCTCCAGGTGTATCAAAATAGAGAGGACAAGGGGACGGTGAAATGCAACCCTTCCCTCAAGCCCAGTCTCAGTCCCCGGGAGAAACAATTTGATGAAGATTTCAAGAAGCTCTGGGATGAAATATGCTGTCAGCCTTCATCAGAAGCAAATCTAAAGTTGAGTTGCTACTCAAGAGCTGTGAAGGAAGAGACTCTAGCACAGAACAGGGTTTCTTTATTCCTTCTTTTTCATAAATTTGAAGAAAATGCCCTAGTGAAAATGCCCCAGTGAAAGAAACAATAAAAACTGTAGGGAGATATGTTTGGATGGAGGAGATTCTGGAAGGCTACTTAGCTCTTTCATACATAACCCTACTTTGACATGTAGGAATGTGTTACACGTCATTTCTGTCAGCTGTGGAAATGCTCCAGACGGTAGGATCTGCCAGCTGTGGCTTCATCTACGAAGCGCAAGCACAAACTTGGCCTGGTTTTACTTTCCATTCAGATCGTACTCACAGCCTGTACTTGATCCTTCCCATCACGTCGAGTATGTATAGCTGGGTACTCTGAGACTGTTTCTTTCTTAGGCGTGCTGTCCTTCCTCCTCTGCCTCCTTTATTTTAATCCTGTTCAACAGTAACTTTTATTATTATTATTATTATTATTTCCTTCCTCCATAGGCAAATGAAGTGAAAAACAACCCCTGATGAGCAATTCGTGTTTCCCGGAGAGCTGAGGCCGCAGCCCCCCCCTCCCCAGCCGTGAGGGGACACCGCCAGCACGCAGCACCGACTCCCCAGCCCTTCGCACACACACACGCCCGGCAAGAGACCGCGGCTCCGCTCCCGCCCAGCCTTCCAGCAAACCCCCCCTGCTCCCCGTTCCTACACACAAACCCATGTGCCACTCCCAGCAAAACCGAACCCACACGCATCACCACGGGCTAAACAAACGCCACTGGAGGCGGGGATGACGGCAGACCCGTGTCCCCCGCAAGAGACACGAGCAACCCCGACCCCTGCGCCCACCCCCCGGCACTC